CAACAACAATTATGCTGTTAAAAGATTAATTCCATTGTTGCTACCCTAATTTGTGTTAATTTTACAAAAATAAAAAAGAGCGTATAAAAGAATAAGCGGGGGGGGGAGGGAGGGATAATATTATAATCCCCCCCCCATTTATTATTATGGAATTACATTACAAAGACCACTTCTAACATTGAGCTCTTTTCTGTTCAGTTCATGAGTGTAATGGGAAGTCTATGAGATGTCCAATTATTTTACGATAGAGGAGACATAATTTTGGGGAACAAAAATAATCTGGAAAAAGGATTTAGTAATAAAATGTTTCTTAAAAAGGAAAGTAAATCATATAATACCCATCTTGATATGTTTCATAAAGCTTAAAAGGAATCCTGTAAAATATGCAAAAAAGGGGAATGAGATCGTAGTAGACATTTCAATGAATAAATCCACCAAAATGAATGCAATATAAAAATAACTTATTGAAGAATATTATTCAAAAGTGTGTTTTATATTGTTTTCTTTTTAAATAAGTAAACCAATAACTCCTTACATGATGTCATCAAAGAGTTCAGGAGAGGGAACTTTGTCAAATGTTATTGAACGTGAAAGGACGTAATTCTGAGAAGTAATGCCAGCAATGTTGAAGTCTCCAGCACGATAATATTTGTGAAGGGCTGGAAGAAGTATCTGAGTAGCCCACTGACCCATAGGACACTTGCATACCATAGAAGGCAACATCACTAATACCAGCATCATGAACACCAACATTCTGCATTACCATCTGCTTTCCAAAACCTTTCATTAAGGCATATAACAAAATTCAAGAAGATGTGAGACCCGGGTTCTGACTTGAATGGCGATTCATTCATTTCAAATATTTTTGTTTCTAGTGTACAATAATCATGAAGAAGCCTTGACTGAAGGTTTCAATGGATATTAATAGCACTTTTTAGCCTTGATACAGAATTATGCTGCTACTGCCATGGATATCACCCAGGCAAGAAGCAGAGATAATAAAGGTTATTTTGATAATTACACATGAGAGAGTAACTTGTGCAGAAAGACAGGTTGAAAACACTTGGTTAATTCCAGCTTTTATTTTTGAACTTAACTTCTGCTCAAGTAAATGGAAAAAAAGTTATGGCTGATTTCTCCCACTGACTTCAGTAGAAACTTAATTCAATTTTTTTTAACATATTCAGTTACTTAACTCAGGACACCAGACTTTGCTTTTTAGTTATAAACAATATCCATGGATTTCCAAGAAAAATAAAATAAGCAGTCCCATTGAGTTGGAAAATTACAGGGGATAGTGGTCACCTGCCCAAAGTTTAGACTTTCTGGATGTAGAAAACAAAACATCATTTTCAAATCTCAGGGTAAATATTCTTTAGTCCTTCTTAGCAAGACAGCAAATTAATCACTCCAGTCAGTTTGGAAGGTGTATATTTGTAACAATGGTATGAAACTCTGTGCTAAATTCAGATTTAACTTTTGAAATCTAAAAACAAAACAAAACACATTTTTCATAGGTTCTTTCTCCATAGAACTCTGCCTTGGCACAGCTAAGGTAAATTAAACAATTCATTTATTTTTTTTTTCAGCTTAGTGACTGAAAATATCCAACCCAATCAAGTATTGATTTCTAAACCAGCGCAAAGCACCAAACAGAAATCCAAAGAGTTATACAAAAAGGTTTAATGAACCCAACCACAAAGGAGAGGTCAGAGGTCATCCTTTAGAGCAAAGTCAAGCTAGACAGCTACAGTAATTCTAGCAGAAAAGTGACACCTTCATATTACGGTTGGGTGCCCCCTGCCCACTAGTAAGAGAAGCCAGTGAAGGGGGCACAGTGGATGAAGGGGATGATAGTTAGGGTTCCAATGGCACTGAGAGCAGGAGCTGAGGTGCCATGGAGCCCACCACCACCCCTGATTGGTTGGAAGTGATTGGTTGGGAGTGCTGTTGATGTATGGTTGGACAGAGAGACCCCTGACCAGGGAAACTGAAGGGCTGGGATTGGGGGGGAATGGAAGCTCTGGGGAAGTTAGAGCAGGCTATACTATTCAGGTGGTGATGGGGAGGAGATATTATGATAGGAGTCAGAGGGCAGGCCACTCCCAGGAAATGTGCCCCCAGTGTTTGTTATCTGTGGTGTGTTCTGGCCCTCTGCACTCAGTCCCAGTCCCTGGACAGCAGACCCATGGAGGCTCTGGCTTTTGGCTGCTCCTTCTCAATGCCAGGTCAATTAACAACAAGGCACCCCTTATATGTGATTTGATCACTCAGGAGTGGGTAGACCTGGCATGTATTACTGAGGCCTGGCTGGGCCCAGAAGTGGGGGTACTCCTTTCAGAAATGTGCCCATCTGGGTTTACAGTATGGCCCCAGCCAATACCTCAGGACAGGGGAGGAGTGGTAACAGTTGTCATCCGGGAATCTCTGTTGGCCTTCAGGGCGCTGTTCCACAAGTGGCCGGTTGCGAGACTCTGTTCCTGAAGTTGGGCTTTCAAGAACAGTTGGGACTGGTGCTACTGTGCCAGCCTCCCTGCTGCATAGCAACCTCCCTGCCTGAGCTGCTGGAGGCCATCTCGCAGTTGGCAGTGGAGTTCCCCAGCCATGGTTCTGGGGGACTTCAATCTGCTATCCCTGGGATGTGCCTTGGAGGTGGCTCGTGAGTTCATGGCCACCATTGTGGCCATGGGCCTGTCCCAGATTATTTGTGATGCAACTTAGGACAGTGGCCTCACACTGGACTTGGTTTTCTTGTCAGAGCAGTGGCAATGTGATCTGAAGGGGGAGTTAAATCTGTCCCCCTTGTCATGGTCAGATCATGCCCTGGTGGCCTTGAGATTCTCCTATGCCACACCCCTCCTCAGGGAGGTGAGACCCATTTGATTGGTCTGCCCCTGGTGACTGATGGACCCAATGGGGAGGGAGGTGGGGGTTATACCCAAGGATCTGCTGCATGGTCCAGTGGAGGCCCTGGCCACCACCTGGAATAGGAAAGTGGCCAGGGCCTCAGACAAGCTTGCACCCACCCAGAGCTTCCATTCCCCCCCAATCCCAGCCCTTCAGTTTCCCTGGTCAGGGGTCCCTCTATCCAACCATACATCAACAGCACTCCCAACCAATCACTTGCACCCACGCAACCTCTCTTGACCCATCGAGCCTGATACTTCCCATGGTTTATGGAGGAGTTGAAGGTCCTGAAAAGGATTAAGAGATGTCTAGAGCACCACTGGAGGAAAACAAGGATCAAACCCAATGAAACACAAGCTAAAACTGCTATTAAGGCCTACCTTGTGGTGGTAAGAGCGGCAAAACACCAATATTTCTCTGCTCTTATTGCATCTGCAAAATGCCACCTGGCAGTCCTGTTTAAGATCGCCCAATCTGTTTTGGGAAAGCCGGGCCCAGTGGCCCACCTGCAGGGCTGCACTGAGGAGTTTTCTGGGTGTCTGGAGGATAAAATTGCTCAGATCCATTCCCAGTTGGATACCAAGTGTGAGGCATGGCCTGTAGAAATGTCTGGAATTCTGCTTAACCTGTTATCTGGGAACAGTTTGATCCTGTTGGGCCTGAGGGAGTGGACAGGGTCCTCCGGTCTGTAAATGCCATCACTTGTCAATTAGATCCATGCCCCTCCTGCTGGATTAAGGCAGCTCAGGAGGTGACTTGTGGGTGGGTCCAGGCAATGGTGAATTCATCCTTGAGAGAGGGAGCGTTTCTGGCTGCCTTTAAAGATGCACTGGTATACCCCCTCCTCAAGAAACCATTGCTGGATTCCAGCATCCTGGACAATTTTCATCCAGTCTCCCACCTCCCCTTTTTAGGGAAGGTGGTTGAGAAAGGGGTGGCACTGCAGCTCCAGAGGATCCTGGATGAAATGGATTATCTGGACCCTTTTCAGTTGGGTTTCAGACCCAGATATGGGATGGAAACAGCACTGGTCACACTCTTGCATGATCTCTGGTGGGAGCGGGATGGGGGTACTCTCCAACCCATCACCATTTGAAATACAGCAATAACCTCAGAATATCCTCATATTGGAGGGCCATACTTGGGAACATCTGCTGAAAACAAAAACAACACTCCTTGGGTTTGGTTCGCCATCATTAGAGCAGAGCCATATGTAAACTAAATAAAAAGGGAACACCGGAAAAGATATTTCTAAAATAAGACAAGTATGGGTGTTTGTCCTTACATGTTGCTGATGGATTATCTAATCAAAATCTAAATACTTTCTTCTATTTTTATTTCTTGTTTTATTCTTCACAATTCAGTTTTCATTTATTTCTGTTTCAAATGGCAAGAAACAATTTTTTATGTTTTTATGTTTTAATTTTATTATTTTATTATGTTTGTGTTTTAATTGTATGGGAAAGAACAGACCAATGTGGTTATAATGGAAATAATTCAGGATAAATTATCTTATGGCAATTCTGCAAAATTATAAATGTTCCTGAAATACAATATTTGCCCTGTGAGGAAGTCAGGTAACATTACAGTTTGTAATCCAAGCCAACCTAATTATTTCTGTTAAATCAGCAAAGGAACATGGAACAAAGGAATTCTTTCTTTGTCATTTGAAATGATGAGCAGCTTTTCAGAAGCAGAAGGAATAATCAAACATTTGCATCAATAAAAGATGCCAAAGAAGGTGAGTTTTATCAAAAGGACACAATTTTATTTGTAAATTTAAATAAAGATCTAAATTTGAAACTCACAAAATTAAATGAAGTTCCACCAAAGAGAGATTATACTCTCATCTGATACACACAGACACATTCTTTAATAAAGAATGTCAGAATTTCTTTAAAAGTTCTGGAATCAGAACTTGAGAAGTTGAATTTTCCTCATTAAGTACATAAAATAGCTGACTTTCTATCCCCATTTTGCTTGCACTGACACGGGTCTATTTCCTAAATATTTAAAGTCAGTAATGCTTCCTAGAAGAGTTGGTCTTTAGGCTACATTGTTGTCCATGTTTGGAAAATTACAAAAAATGCTGCAGAGAAGGAACACAAAGAGTCAGCTTTTACACAGAGGCATCAACAGATGCAACAACACACTTATAAGGGTTAAAACCAGAGAAACTTGCACATCAGTTTGAAACCTTCACATACCAGCTTCTTTCCTGTAGTGTTCCTTTGAATAAATTTATAGTATTTCAGGTTCATTGTTCAGATATTATTTTTTTCTTGTTAGCTGCTCCCTCGTGTTAAGATTTGGCTTCAGCAAAATGATATAGCATTTGGGGAAAAAGATGCAGCCCAGTATCCCTAAACTGGAGGCCAAAATGCAGAAGATCTCCACAGCTACCATGTACTTTCCCTTGGTACTCAGGTAAGTTGGAACAAATGACATCCAAACGCTGCAAAACAGCAACATGCTGAAGGTAATAAACTTAGCTTCATTAAATGTGTCAGGCAAACTCCTGGCCAGAAAAGCCACAACAAAGCTGACAATGGCCAGGAAACCCATAAATCCCAAAACACAGTAGAACATGAATGTTGAACCTTCATTACATTCCACAATAATTTCTGCTGTCATTGAATTCATGTCAACATCTGGAAATGGGGGAAAGATTACCAGCCACACAGTGCAAATGGTGATTTGAATTAGTGAGGAGGAAAGAACAATGGATTTGGCCAATTGTCTGCCCACCCACTTCTTCATCCTGGACCCTGGTTTGATAGCAGTAAATGCGAGGACCACTATGATGGTTTTGGCCAAGATGCAAGAAACTGCCGCTGAGAAGATGATGCCAAAAGCAGTTTGTCGAATGAGGCAGGTCAGCTTCTCTGGGTGGCCAATGAAGAGGAGAGCACAGAGGAAGGAGAAGAGGAGTGAAATGAGGAGAGTATAGGTCAGGTTCCGGTTGTTGGCTTTGACAATGGGAGTGTCATGGTATTTAACAAAGATGCCTAGAATGAAAGCAGAGAGGAAAGTCGAGGAAAGAGCAAAACTGGCCAAAGTGATTCCCAAGGGTTCTCCATAGGACAAGTAGGTTTTACTCTTTGGAATGCATAAAACCTGGGTGGGGTTCGGATAATGAACATCTGGACATTGAATGCAGACATCCATATCTGAAATACACAATGTGGTTATTCTATGGATATTCTATAACATTCTATCATCTAATTAAATGTTATAACATTCCAAATTATGGTTTTCATTATCTAAAAGTTGCAAATAATGTTTTTCACACTAGAAATAATATCCAGGAAGAATATGATTTAAGAAAAACACAGTGTCATAAAGGATTAATGTATGTGGATGTTTTAACTTCCTCATTGAATGCATCTGCCCAACATCCATACCTGAAAAATACAAAGTAGATTTTGTAGATGTTCTAGAACTTCTGACAGTGAATCAGTTTAATCTGTTGTGATTTTCAGAGGTGTTCTGCCAGTAACTTCATACAGTGTGGTTGTGTGTGTGTGTGTGTGGGTGGGTGGGTGTTTCCAGTCTAGAACTGAGAGAGAATGCCTAAGTCACATCACACAGCTGGCTTGTTCTTTTTCTTTTGCTAAAGGAGGACTAGAATTTTCATCCAGTGCCTTTACCCACTACATCAAACTGGCTGCATTATCTGGTGCTATAAAATCCTAAATTATGCCTCTCGGTACATTAAATATGAAAGCTTTTGGAAGAAATATTTGTGTTTTTGAGAAAACAGACAGAATAGTATTTCAGAAAGCCACAAATTGTAATATATAAGCATATATGAATGAATGAACTGCTTCCCTTACTGAAAGTAATGAAATTATTATTGAAGGGAAATACTCAGTTTTCTTGAAATTTTGAATTTTATTTAAAATGTTTTTTCTCCCACTTTTAAAAGTTGTTATATAAAATAGAAGATGCAGAATAGGTTGGAAGTTACATTATTCTTGTCATACAGTTGGCACCCTCTTTATTGAAGATTGAAATATTAGTATCTTATGGTAATAAGCCCACTTGCAATATGCTGAATTCCTACTACCCACAGCTAATTAGTCAAGTTATTTTGGCACCTCAATGAAGCAGACAAAAAAATCAATATCTAATCTATTAGTTGGTTGTTATTGTTATTAATATTATTCATATTTGATAACACTCAGATAAGCAGATATTTCATTTCCTCTAGCAAGTGGGATGTACCAGCAGTGTAGTGTAATTATATAGATATATCTACTTGGAATACCCATTTAATTATGTTATGCTTTTTATAATTTTTGCTCATTTTATTGCCTTGTTTGTGAAGCCCCCCCCCCCCTTTTTGTATCCAATAATTCTTCTTAAGGATTTTGAAAATTTCATAAAATTATACACCAAACCAGATAGAGGTATGGGTAAACCTCACGCTGTATTTTTAATGTCCAAAGTAGTTGAGGGATGTTTTTTAGCTTCTCTAATCTTTTTTCTTTCCCTCTGCTTCCTGGAAGGACAAAGTAACCTAACACTTTATTTTCTTCCTCACATGGTCCATGCAGTAAGTCCTGGATTGAAGAAGATTCTTTTGTTACACTTCATCACCACAAACACTTTTGCATCATCTTCATGAACAATATTGAGGGCAGACTTCCAAATTTATCTCCAGAAGCAACATAGTAAAATATTTTATGTCCCTCGTTTTAACAATTCAGTGGAGAGTACACTTCTAAAAGACTAATATCACTGCTGCATTATGTTGAAGTGATATGCCTGCTGAAACTTGGGATGTGTTTGTGCTGACTGATTTCTGAGCAAGAACATTTGCTGTATTATACAGACATGTGTGCACACAAACTGAGAAAGGAGGCTAAGAGCAATGACAGTGGTCCATCAAGGGAAGAGGAAAGGAAAACTTATTTGTTCCACTGATTTAACTGACCTGAAATCAATCAGTCTCTCTCTCTCTCTTTCTCTCTTTCCCTCCCTCTCTCTCTCTTAATAGCACATCCACACCCAAGGCCTTCAGAATAAGTCAGCTTTAATGGACTTCATAAAACAGAAGAGGATTGGGTATATAGCCGTGTCAGAAGCATACTGTACCATTGTCTGATTATTTGATATATTGTCATCTTAGGAATCTTTATCCAGGATTTCTTACCCTTCTGCTCTGCAATTTTCCCTTCTGGACATGGAAAGCAATCATAGCAACAAAATGGCTTCCCTTCTTTCTTTGCCTTACTAGTCCCCATTTGGCACATATTGTTACATAGAGAAAGAGGCTTTGTCTGTTGAAGAATGAAAGAAGAACCGGATATATCACACTGAAAAGTACATCTTTTTGAACTGATATTGTATAGTTCACTCGTGAGTAGAATGGGATAACATACTTATTTTTGAGGAAGCACCTGGTGTGCATATTCTTCAGCTGGGGTCTTGAATGGCATGGATGCTTCAAGAACTCACCAAACATACACAAATAATATTAACAAAGACCATAAAGTTTCTAATTTCTGCAGAAGTTAAGGAAGAGAAGGACAGAATTCAGTTTTTCCCCAATTCATGCTTCAGAATGGGAATAGTTCAGAATAAGTTGCCTCTAAGACATCTGTGAATATTTCTGGCTATTTCAGAAACCAGAATCAGTCCACAATGTGGACTGCACGCTCTGGGCGAGAACCTTTCTACATTTCAAATTCCTTAAAATCACTTGCAGCATTGTACACTGAATGTGTATCTTACCTGATTGAATCGCTTGGGCCACTGAATGTCTTCTGCATGAATGGTGAAGTCTTCCTTTTCCTTTGGAAAAGCCACGGGTTCTATTTTGCCAACTCTTACTCTCCGAAAGGACTGGTTTGAGAATGTGACCCAATTTATAATATCAAATCCTGCTATTAATGAACCACTTTCATCAAAAGAAACTTTTTCACCAGCAGAGTTGTTAAATGAAACGCTTCTCAGAAAGTGGTGCAACTGAAATCAGGAATGAGGAAAAAAACAGGAACAGGATATGAAAAGAAGATCTAAGATAGCAGTCTTCCAAAGTGAAAATTTACAATGAATCTTTCTATCCCCTAAAAGTTTTATCTGGCGTAATAGAAATGCCAATATGCTATCTATTGATATTAGAGAATGTGTGTGTTGCTGTTGTTATTGCTTTCTCCTGGAGCTGTCTTCTTCTTGTCACATTACTTTATTTAACGTAATTACCACGGACAACATTACTTTTAGCCCACGGTATTCATGTTAGATAAAGTAATGTCACAAGAAGAAATAATGAAACAGTTGGATGCTGGAGTAGTGTTATTTTATAGTGTTTTATCTGAGTGCTTAAATAAATGTGTCACAAGAAGAAAATAATGTATGGGCATCAACAACAAGAAAAGAATCGCATCTCCAACATTCATTCTTAATTAGATGTACTATGAACTCCATATAAAATGAACTTATGAAATCCCAGTTTAGATTTTAAGACAATCAGTGACCTAGACTTCTACTTTGCTCAGGACAGTACATACAGTCACGGGGAAGAGTTTTATATATCTCAGATTGATAGAACATTTACCTGCCACAGAGGCGGATGCAGAAGTTTCCATCTCCCTTCCATTGTTCTTGATCTGTGCATGGGTTTGCTTGAATGCATATCATGTAGAGCATGGGCCACAGCATGGATAGCATTATAGATGCTGTAGCTGTGAGCGGTCAGGCTTGTTTCAAAAACAGGTACAGGAAGAGAGTCTAGTTTTTCTTCCCCAGTGCAGGTTTTGCTCTCCTCTTCATCTACCAGAGAAATAGCAAATACACAGTTAAAAGCTTGTTTCCAAAAACCTTTGATGAAGCCATCTTCTCTTCCTTCTTTAGGATTTTTGGCCTGAACAAAGTTCTGGAAGCCAAACAATTCCTTTCTGTGCACTGCCAGTGATAGAGCACCATGTATGAAGTCTAAGTTCCAATCATCTTGAAAGGGGAGTGATGTGAAATCCATTTGAGCTGTCATAATCCAGACCTTTGTCACCATTGGTATATTCTCAAAGTCTGACAAATAAAGCACCATTCTCAGGACAAAGGAGGTCTGAATTTCACCATGGACTATGAATACATTTGCACTGCTTTTCATGATACCCAGGAATGTTTCAAGTCCCTCCTTCACCATTTGATCAATAAATGCAGAAAAAGTTAGGAGTGGGAATCTTTGGATGATGTCAAAGCAAATGCCACTCTTGGAGAACATGGGAAGCACTTCCTGTATGAATCTCTCTCCATTAACATCATTCAGATAAACCACTCCAACCCATCTCCAGTTGAAATAGAGCAATAACTTGAGAATACCCACATACTGGAGCGCCACATTTGGGAACATCTGCTGGAAAAAAACTCCTTGGGTTTTTTCCTCCATCATTAGATCAGAACCATATGTGAGCTAAATCAAAAGGGAACACCAGAAAAGATATTTCCAAAATAGAGTAAGAAGTTTGTCTGTATGTATTGTTGGTTCACCATCTATTCCAAACCTTATTTTCTTCCTCCGGTTTTATTTCTTGTTATCTTGTTCACAGTTCAATTTTCACGTGATTCCTGTTTCAAATGGCAAAAATCCCTGCCACGTTTTTCTTTTGCATTTTTGTGTGGAAGGTGATAAAATAAAGGAGCTTCATTGCCTGCATTGGTTTGCCTGAATGGGGCTAACCATCATGCAGAGCTGCTCCTAGTTTGCATGATAACATTTAGTTCCATAAAGAAAATAATAGACAGTTCCAAAAGAATTTCAGGTATTTTGTCCCTGAACCAAGTGTTTCTTTTTAATTTAAATCCTTGAATTTTTCTCTGTTTTGTTCAATTCTTCCCATCCCTAGGCCACAAAAATACCTCAGAATTGATAGAAGAGGTTTGCACCTCTTAAATATCTATTGTTTTTCATACTGCCTACCTGTGGGATCTTGTACATGCAGAGAATGGTCGCCATATTGAATTTGACATCACAGTTGGGTCCCCCAATAACTGCTACTGGATTATTTTGGGCATCACATCTGTAATTTGGGAGAAGTTTGTCTTTTGTGGAAAGAAGTTCCATGGAAGCAAGATAAATTGTCCTTGCCCTGAAATCATTATTGTAGATATGGAAGCCCAGGGTGATGTTAGGTAAGAGTTTGGCATTGATATTTATCTCCTTTAAAGCAAATTCTAAAGCCAGGATGTGTTGGTAGTGCTGTTTCAGGACCCTATGATGAGAGGAATGGACATTTTACAATTTTGATCTTTCAGCAAAGTAGTTGTTTGAATTTAGATTGCTTGGCCCTTGGCCTTAAATAATCCCATGATTTCTCTGAAGAATCCTCCCCCTCCAGAATGGTAGAATTCTTCAGGAGTTTTAAGATGGAAAACCTGTTAAATATTTTTCTGGATATCCCCTGGTGCTTTTTCTCAGAATGGTTTTTGTGTTCTTTCCTTTTTGAAGGTCTTTTGTGCATCTTCTCTTTTTAGATTTCTTTTTTTTGGGGGGGGGGTGTTTTAGTTTTTTGGAAACAAGGAGTTTGGGCATGAGCACACATGTACTCATCTAGGAATTGTGAACTTGTAGACCATAAGCTCTCCTGAAGTGTCCACCAGGACCTCTTTTACTGCTTCACTTTCAGAAAATAGTTTTGTCTGCCTCCATAACAGTGTCAAAATTTGGAAGAGATATCTGTATGATTTTAGAAGCTAGAATTTGGCAGACTGGTATGTCAGAAGTTCACATTCAACAAGAGAAATCGTCAGCTACATTATTGCTGTGGAGTTTGCTGATAAGAAACTATTACCTTTAGTGATAACTAACTAAGCCCTAACTTAGACATAGAACACAGTAGGAAATATTCCTTTGATAAGAGCTGAAGCAAAAGCCAGGAGTTGCAAGTCAGAAACTCTGAAACCTGCAGTGGGCAGATCTCCTACAATATACTGTGGCAAGGGCCCTACAGTTATTGTTGTTTAGAGTTACCTTGGAATCCAAGCCTTACAGAAAACTCCCATCAAACACACACAATATGGCTTCAAACATGACATAACACCAAACAGGGAGAAGCAGGGAGCCCACCCCAGATGACATGACACCTTACTCAATTCCCCCCTCCAGCTGTTCTCTAAAATGGGTAAGACTCTGCATAGATTAGTACCAGATCAGTTTGAAACCTTGGAATTAAGAAACTGGTATGTGGTATCAAAGCGTACTAAATATGATATTGTGTATGTTGCCTTGTTGTATTTATTGCTGTAGCTATGATTCTGTTATTTTCACTAAAAATGAGAAAAAAACCTTTTTGCTCTTTGTCTCATGATTTTTTTTCTCTGTATGGACATTAATTAGCCCATACATTGAAGCAAGCAGAAAGCAAAGCCCATCAGATCCCATAAAAGCTTCTCCCTGAAGCATATTTTTGCTGTGTGACTTACCCCCAGAATACCCTGGTCCTTAGTAAACGTTTCAAATGGGGACTGAGAAGTGGTGCATTGTTGGGTAGACCAAGGTGTCCTAGTTTATACCAATACAAAGCAGTTCAATTCTCATTAAGAGACAAGGTTGGGCTTTCAACTTCTACCGTTTTATCAGTTTAAGGGGACACAAATGTAGACTTTTTTCAGGTATGCTTAGTTCTATATAAAGCACAGCAAACTTATTGTAACTCCTCAGGTTTGCTGTGCTTTAGGGGGGTCCACAATGTTACAAATGGTCACAAATTCTCATTTGTTGAGCAAGTAAATCGATGTCACTCATGTTCTTCTTGCATTGGTCTGCATTTATTCTAGATTTCAGAGTGATTTGCTAAGTACTGAAAATAGACAGAGTCAACATCCTAACACTTGATTTTCAATAAGATTCATTTATCGGACAGTGGCTAAGAAATGAATCAAAATACAGGAATTATTTGTGTCTATCATATGCTGAGTGTAGTCCAAATGTTGCTGTAAACTATGGCCAATTGATATTCAAAACCATAATTGGTGGTTGATCATGCAGAAGGTTATATAATACCTTAGGATTCTTCAGGGAGACTCTTATTCTCTTATTGCTTCAGTTATAGGGGAAAAATTTAGCAACAACTCCATTCAGTTCATACTGCCTAGCTAATTCATTCCCTTTCTTGCCCTCAAATAAAAAGGGGAACATCCAGATTAAGACTGTTGTTGTTGTTTAGTCGTTAAGTCGTGTCCGAATCTTCGTGACCCCATGAACCATATTGTGCCAGGCCTTCCTGTCCTTCACTGCCTCCCTGAGTTTGCTCAGTTTCATGCTCAGATTAAGACTGAGAATATTGTATATAAAAGGCAAGTTTAAACTGCCTCTCCTTTTATCCTCTCCATCCTGCAACCTCTGCAGGATAAGATGTTTAGACCATTTGCATGGAACACACAAAGATTAGGGGGACAGCAGTGAGGAGACAGCCTCACAAAAAAGCTCTTCATTCAGTTTACAACATTGGGAAGTAAATTCTGTTAGAATGTGCACACATACTGGTTTCTACTCCTTCAAAATATTCTTTTAAAATTCAAAGGTATCTATCACTCAGAAGTATGGGTGGCAGGAAATAAGGTAATAATTTGCAGATCCATCTCAGTATAAAGAATTTCAAATCTGCTTCCCTTCCAAATGTCCCAGGATGGAAACTTGCAAAATTTGGAGGGACATCACAGAAAAATGACTGTTATGTTGAAAAACCCTGAGCCTCACATTTTTAAACAATTAGTGTATAAAGATTGGAACCAGCAGAAATATGGATCTGAAGGTAGAATTCATCATGATCAGAGTCTGCCACCATTCTTAAAGAAGAAAAGAGGAACAGTATCCATTATGTTCTCATAAATGACTAAAACAAACCTGCATCAAGAAAATTCCCCCCAACACACACCAATAGAGACACAGCATAAAACATACTTGGGAAACACATGTGCCAGGATTAAGAAAACTAAGTGCCTTACACAAAATCACCAAAGAGTGCAGAAGAAGGACGTTCTTCATAGGAAGTAGGATTTGAAAAACGGTAAGTGTGAGAAATGATCCCAGCCATTATGAAATCTCCAGACTTGTAATACTAATGATGAATAGGTAGAGGC